GTGGAATACATAGTACTTTATAATTAGATACTTTAATTCAAATACCTAAACAGAACATTTTAATGTAATAAAATTGTTCTACCAAAATGCAAGATTTTTATTCATCTCAAATGTTCATCTCATAAAATAATGTGACTTTACTCTTTACAAAATGAATATTCTGTATTCACAGCTATTTATAGTGATACATGGCTGAGGGAATAAAACTTCATATGAAATCAACTTTATTATTCTATGTAAAGCTTATTAATTGGATCTACAAAGATACTAGATTAGATAATACTTTCTATTCTTTGCTCCTCTGTGTCATCTTCAAATAAAAAGAGAGTCTCTAACTTCAACCGGTGCCTTCCTGTTATCATGAGTACAATTTGAACATGAGTAAAAGGACAATGTCCTTGTTTATGTTGAAATAACAAGATGGAGTGAATCTGTGTCCTTGAATCATTTATGGCTAACAAAGCCAAAAGGCTTCTGTTACTGCTTCCAGCCTCCCTTAAGGATACATCTTATTAGGTCAGGTTCAACAGGAAAGTCTGCTCTTTTTATTAACTAAAATTCAACTGATTAGATTTCTTTTTTTTTTCTGATTAGGTTTCTTAATTACATCTGGAAAATCCCTTCGCCATTGTCATAGGGCATAACCTAACTCTGGATGTCATGTCCCGTCATAAACTCAGTTCCTGCCCACACTCAAGGGGAGATGATTATGTCAGGGCATAGGCTATTTGAGGGGCGGGGTGGGGGAGTCTTATAATATTAAGAAAATAAGCTTCAATTTCTACAGATGCCATACAAAACAACATATATTACAAGTAGCACTGTATTATTTAATACACTTTTCATCCCACAAATTGACTTTAAAAGTGATTTAAATGACTAACATATATCATGAATTGTCTTACTTACTGGGATTTTAGCACTTCACAATACAGAAAAGGTCCCTTTCTATTGAGGAGATATAATTTTAAAACTAGTAAATAAATTAACCAGATAAAATAAATGTTGATACATTTCATGAAGACAGTGAGCTAAGCAGAATTATGAGGCAGTTACTGTAGTCAGGGATGTCAGAGGAGGTCTCTTTAAAGAAATAAACTTGAAACATTAAAAGAGGAAGGAGAAGTTACTATGTATATGGTGTAGAGATGAAGAAGGATTGTAGTATAAGGTAGCAGAGAAATAGGCAAGAACCAGATGGCCTTGTAGGCCATGAAAAAATGTTTGCTTTTTATTCTCATTGCAAAGGAAAACTATTGGGGGATTTTGTGCAAGGAAGGGTTATGATAATGAGAGTATTTTTTTTTTTTTTGAAAGATAACCTTGGCTGCTTGGAGAATACTACTGATATTTTAGGAACTCAGAAATGGAAACAGGAGGAACAAATGGAAGCATCCATCAAAGTTTAGGAAGTCTGGGTTATATTGGTAGATGTTAATATGAGATGGTAGATGGATTTGGAATAAACTTTAGCAATATAGCAAACAGACTTTGAATTAGATTGAACAGAGTAAAGGTGAAGGGAAGAACATATAAATGTATCTTTTGCTCACTTAAAAAACTAATTCTATTCAAAAGGCAATTCATTTTATTAAGCTCAGATTTATAATTTCAAGGGCATACTGCTAGAGAAAAGACAATTGATCAGCAAGAGGAAATTAAATTTTAAAAATGTCCAGAGTAAAATGCCTTAGCCTACTGAAAATTTACTTGCCAATGTTTAGTAATAAAATTATACAGAATTGTCAGAGATTAAATATAAAACTAAGGAAACATGATGACAATCTTTTTTCCTAAAAATTTAATGTAAAATATTCACAATTACCTCAAGAAACATAAAAAAGAAATGCTAAAAAGTACAAATAACACTCTTGCACCAAACTTGAGTGACTGTGCTTGATGCTCCAGTCCGTGTCTTAAGATTTACAATGCAAGGTCTGAAGCCGAGACCTGACTCCTGAAAATTCACTAGGTAGTACCTTCTGCCCTTCAGAGGGGGAAGAGTAGAATTAGCATGTTTCTAAAATGACCAGGTGAGCTTCTCAATAGAATCAGTCAACTTCTGATAAAACTTAAGCTGATAAAATATTTAAACAAGCTGATAAAATATTTAATTCCTTTAGAAAAATTGTCTATCTGCATGTCTTATTATTTTCATTTAGTAATTTTGTAGATAAATATCAACTATTAATCTCTGCTTAGTCTTTACAGATTAGAAAGCATAAATTGTCAGTTAATTATAACACTCTAGTATATTAGAAAACTATTTTTAAGTAGTTGCTGAATCAAGAAAGCTGTTAGTGACACAAGCTGAATACCCTACTGTCATCCTTATAAACATTAAAAGCAATTAATTTACCCTTCATACTCTAAAGTTACCTTCAAGGATAATAGAATTAACAACCATGAAAATATTCATAGACAGTCTTATATGAGGAGAGGACAAATGAGACTAGTACAATGGACCAAATGAAAATTTAAGTGATCTGATTTTCAATTTCCTGTTTTATTGTTTTAGGTTCACTAGCAATATCTGGTAGGGAATGTGTATTTAAAATGAATAAATATTTGAAGAATAAATAAAATAAAATATGTTATATATGCATTTTTGATACTACTGTTACAGAAATTGTAATGAATGTGCAAATTTTCATCACCTTCAAGATCTTCTTTACTTCACAAAGTGAAAGTCTTTTTGAATAGTCCTCTTGAACTTTGACTAAATCTCTGTGTGCTACACTGTAATGTAATGCATTAGTTAGGAACTTTTCCTTCTCTCTCTTCACAACCAGTAACCCCATCTCCTCATCTATGGTAAGTCCCTGAAGGGTTAGAATAAATCATTTGTCCTTCCCAGATGCTAGAAGAGTGCAGTTATGGGGATGAAGTTAAGTACTGTTTGGTATTAAATGAAAGTGAAGAACAGAGGGAAGAGATGGTGGGAAGGAAAAGAAAGGAAATAATGAATGTATATTTCTCTTCTACTCAAGGTGTCTCTCACTGTATCACATATAGGTGATGGATACAAGTCACTTGGTCAGTACCATCATCAATGTGGCAGAGTGAATATACTCTGCCCAGAGAGGGAGGGCACAGCAAAGTTACCTTGCCGGAGGGAGTAAAGAGTCCAGGACAACAATCCTACAAGGTACCACAGGCACTACTAGTGCCACTACATACACGTAGAAATGATTTATTTTGGAATCAACACATCTAAACACTTACAACACACAGGCACACATATTTAAACACACACTACACACACACACACACACACACACACACACACACACACACACATGCATAATGATTTTGTTCTACTATTTATCCGAGAGATGGCATGGCCGAGATATTTTTTAGAGTTTAGTAAGGAGATTTCATTCTTTGGGGGAAAAAAAAGGAATTTATGTACAAGTCTTCCTTCATCATGTAGTACAAAGAACATAAGCCTCAAATCTGTTGATTTTCATTTCCTGGTGTCATTGGTAAGTCATTTAACCATCCTGAGTCCCAAGTTTAAATCCTTCTCCTTTTTTCATCTCCTACTAATTTCATCTTGTACCAATCTGTCTGAAAATGCTGTCTCCAGATGCTGATAGTCTTTGCTGGCCTGGTGCTCTGGAAATATTTAAGTGGAGAAATCTGAGCATTTTGCAGGGATGTACTTAAATACATAAAGTTTATTGAGGAATCATTTAGGTTAGTATCTAAGGCAGTTATTTTGTGGATAGATCAGAGAAAACAAGGTTGTATGTTTCTCTAATACTACACTATTAAATGTTATTATTAAATTAACTTAGCTTCCAAACAAGGCACATATGTTAAATGTACTCAGGCATTGAAGCAAATTTTTGTAATTTCTGAAAATGCAATCAGATCTACTCTTAAAGGAGGTTGGATGTTTTATGTCATATTCTTGTGTTATTAAATTGTTTAGAGAAGGACTGATCATTTAAGTTATTTGAAAATTTAGCTTCTTACATATTAGAAGAAATTATCTCTGCTACATTACCAGTTTATTGAATTATACTAACAGCAAATTTAAAAGATGATTCATTGTTAAGTAAAGGACTTCATTTATGGTTTTCTTACATTTTATTTTCAAAACAGGAATAAGAGAACTGTAAATTCTAAATTTGTGCTTTACATCTCATCCTTTTTTAGCTTGGATGGGATTTTAATTTTTTTCCTGTAAAACAAAAATAATACATCTAAATGTTTGATTATTAATTTTTAGCAATTATTCTGTCTATTCTGTGCCAGGTTGTAGTTTGAGCTACAAAGATACGATAGTAAAATATATATACATGCCTTGTCTCCACGGCCATGTGTACAGCTTGCAGGGAGACCCTGCAGCCACAGATGTGTGCACCAACAGGCTGGGCATGCTCAGCTGCTTGTGGACCCAGACCCAGCCCCGTCTCCCATGACTGGCCTGCACCACCATGCCCACCTGCAATTAGCCCCTCCAGTTGTGCATCTGCTCACACCTGGCCTGATTCCAGATACCAGCCTCCACTGTCCTGGGCCTGTGGGGAGACCCAGCATCCGTGGTAATATATACCTACAGCAGGCACCCTGCAGCCACCAGTGTGCCTGCTGTTGGCCTCAGCCCTTGCCAGGAGGGTCCCTAGCTAGTTGAGCTCAATGGTGCAATCCAGGGACTAGAGATAGGGCTGAATCTGGGCCTACAAGCAGCTATGGAGGCATTGGCTATTGGTGTGCACTTTTGTGGCTGCAGGATCTCACTAAGGTCACACACATGGCAGTAGAGGCCAATGAGGTCAGGTCAGCAGCATGCAAGCGCACAACTGGAAGGGCTAATCTCAAGCGTTTCCCTGGTAGTGAGGGATAACTGCAGGGGTCCAGGCTAGCATCTTGCACTCATGCAGCCACTGAGGCCAGGGTTGGCTGCCACGTGGATCCCAGGCTCTAGTGAGGGCAGAGAAAACAAAGCAGGGCTGGGGACCCAGGTGGCTGGCATCTGCCAACACAAATACCTGTGGGGTAAAAACTGATGAAATCTGCAAGGAGTCCGAGGCAGCTGTGGTGGTCCTTGATTTCTTCCATGGCAATAGCTGCTGGGGTCCTCTGCAGAGTAGCTTACTGGAAACCACAGTTCCTCCTGTTATAAGGCGGCTGCCCTTCTTCCTTGTTCCTTGGTGCCTCTACTTGTCTCAGCTTTGCTGGTCTCTGGGAGGGCTGAGACCAAAGTGGGTCCTTTGAGGGTGCTCTGAAAGGTTGGAGAAGCTGGTCTCTCATCTCACTCTCCCTTTCCCAGGGAGGGGAACTATTCTAGCTGGTGAGCTCCCTTTTGGTATTGCTGGGGGTGGGGTAATGCAGGAAAAATGAGGCTGTTCTTCCTTCTTTTTGTGTGTGATTATTCTTAGTGTTTTCTTTTTCCACTATCTTGTCGAAGTCTATTACATAGACTCATGAGCTCTCCCAAAGCAATTTTTGTTCATGAATAGTTGCCTAGTAATTGATAACCATGGGGGAATGGAGGCTGGGGTCCTCTTATTTTGCCATCTTGGTGACATCACACCCCAACTTGAAACTGTTTTATTAATCTCTTTGACATAAAATATATTTAATGACTATAGACCTAATAACTTTATTATCATGCATAGTAATTAAAAGGAGATAATAAAATCCAAATGTCATAACTTTCATGTTAATTTTTATTGTGTTACAATATGGTCCTTGAATATGTACAATCATTTATGTTTCTCTAATTTTACAAGTAGAAATAATTTTCCCAAGCATTGTATCTCAATATTTATCTGAGTTACCTAGATACAACTATTAAAATAATAACCTGCTCTTTGTCTATGTGTTCTGCAAACTCTAATAAATTACCAAGTTTGCTTAGTTTCAGTAGTTTATCTCTGACAAACACAAACTGTTCCCAAACACTTCATTTGTAAAGTTTATTTTGAAAGGCCGCGCGATACTGCTGATACTTACATAACTCCTCTTTGTTTCATTCTTGCAAAACCCAGAAGGCACTAGGGAATGACTACAATGGATCACAAACATGAATATTTCAGTACTTTATAGACTCTTCCTCAGCATGTTGCAGAGTGTAAAACAAAGTTCTATTTAAACCATGTCAAGGAAAACAATAGCAAATCTAGGATTTTCCAAACTAAAGCCAACCAGTTCCAAATGTTTTTCTTAATGAAGAGTTACTATGAGAATATAATAGGATGAAGGATGATGACTAAAATGGATCTAACATTTTTTATAAAGAAATAAAAGAAAATTTGGGGTCATTCTGGCAACTTCAGAAAAGGGAAGCTCGTGAGACCAACTGAAGGGTTGGGGGAAAACTGGGCTGTATTTTTACAGTCACTCTCATATATGCACATGTTCATATCTGTTATGTTTGCTAATGGATTCTAGATTTGACACTTGATGGATATTTAAAACATGTTAATATTTGTTTTCTTAAAGATTAAAATGATAAAAAAAATGATAGTGAGGCTTAATATAAGATTTTTGAGAACCACGATAGCTCACTTGTTCTTCTCCTGTTTCTTTTTCTTGTTGGAGACCAAGCAAGAAATAGGTTGCAGTAAAATCATGGCAAACTCTATTATAGTTAAAATGAGATGGACAAAAAATTAATAATTCTTTACAAAGAACACCTAAAGCTATTAGCAAATCACTTGAGAAAGCTATTCTAAAGAGCATATTCTTAAGATAAACCTAATAATCATATTTAAGAACATGGAAAATTTTAAGTATAAATTAAAACACCTTAAATAACAGAATAAAGATCACACAAGAGGAAATGCCCAGACTGCAGTGATGATTCAACATTGAATAACTTTACCTAAAATAACATGGAATTTCCTTTTTTGAAGATGTTCCGACTAGGTTATTTACCAGTCCTAGAAAGGAGTAAGTGGCTGCATATTAACATCGTCTCTTAGCCATAGGTCTACAAAGCATCTTGTTGATAAATGAATGGAAAGTCTTGCTAATAAATTAATTATTTGTTATCAGCAAAACAACAAAAGTGCATATGTGTGTGTGAGAGAGAGAGAGACCTCTGTTTCTTCTGTGTTCTAGATAGTTGCAACAGATTGTAGCTTTCACATAAACAGCCCAACAAGCCAGACCTGCTTAAATATCCTAGCTTCCCTGAAATCATCAGAGAATATGCAAAAAAAATAATAATAATAATAAGTGAAATACTTTATGGAAAGTGATCCACACTTAATAAGAGAGTAGAGACCTATGGCTCTTCTCATTATTGACAGAGCATTGAAAATAGGAAAATCTACTGTAGATGGAGGTAAGAGGGAGATGACAAAATTCTGAGAGAAACCCCTCTTACACAAATCCTTCAAAAAGATCTCTCTAGGCACAGAAAGGGTAGTCAAGACTAAAGAGAAAGAAGAATTTCACATTGAACAGAAAGCTGACAGTAGGGTATAGAGCATAAAGAGAATTATAGTGCCAAAAATCGAGCCTCAGCTGTAAAGCACAAAAAGATCTATAGAATCTCATCTTTCCTCATATCTCCCAAAGAAGGAAAAGTTCTGATCTTATGGTTAAAAATATTTGAACCTGGGCTTTCCTGGTGGCGCAGTGGTTGAGAGTCCGCCTGCCGATGCAGGGGACGCAGGTTCGTGCCTCGGTCCGGGAAGATCCCACATACTGCCAAGAGGCTGGACCTGTTAGCCATGGCTGCTGGGCCTGCGAGTCCGGAGCCTGTGCTCCGCAACGGGAGAGGCCACAACAGTGAGAGGCCCGTGTACCGCAAAAAAAAAAAAAAAATTGAACCTATTAGTAAACTGAATCAAATTAAACATTCAAAAAATCCAGATATTGCTCATCTACTGATCAGATTGATTCAGCTCCCCACTCAGTCTGGCTCAAGAAAAGGTATGTCATTTTAAAAGATTAACAATATTACACTAGTATCACAATACACAGGAATAAATAAGAACATATGACACATGGTCATAAAAGAAACTATCATGAGAAGCAGAAACTAGATTTCCCTGCTACTGATGTTCTCTGAAAGTGACTCTAAAGTAATTATAATAAAAATGCCCAAGTACATACTTAAAATTGTGAGCAATGTGTATTATGTTATGGGGAAATTATCAGAGACAAAGAAACTAATAAAAAGAATAAAATGGAAAAAAATGTTAAATTAAAATACATCATAAATAAAGAAGTCACTGATGAATTCTAAAAATTAATGTACTGAACAGTGGAAAAAATGAACTTGAATTAATAATAACAAAAAAAGTCTGTACTGAAAAAAACAGTTTTTAAAAAAAGGCTAAAAAAGAAAAAGAAAGAATTGGAGATCTATGGTAGAACATGATATGGCCTAGTGCACAACAAGCTTGCCAAAAAAGAAAAAGAGAGTGAAAATGCAGCAGAAGAAATAAAGACATAATAGCTGAGAGCCTTCAAAATGGATGAAAGACACCCACTACAAATTTAAGAAGCTCAGGAAACTCAAGCAGGATAAATACAAACATTGCCCCTATGATGGTTCATTTTATGTGTCAACTTGACTAGGTTAAGGGATAACCAGATAACTAGTAAAATATTATTTCTGAGTGTGTCTTTGGGAGTGTTTCCAGAACAGATCAGCATTTGAATCGGTAGGCTGAGTAAAGGAAATTGTCTTCACCAATGCAAGTGGGCTTCATCCAATACATTGAGGGCCTGAAGAGAACAAAAAGGTGGAGGAAGGGAAAATTTGCTCTCTGCTTGAGCTAGGACACCCGTCTTCTCCTGCCCTTGGACATCAAGGTTCTGTCGCCCTGGTTCTGGAGCCTTAGGATTCAGACAGGTACTGACACTGTTGGCCCTTCTGGTTCTCAGTCCTTTAGATTTGGATAAGAGCTACAGCACTGGCTTTCCTGGGTCTCCAGCTTGCAGTCGGCAGACTGTGGGACTTCCTAGCCTCCATAATCACATATGCAAATCACTCATGATAAATCTCACCCTATATATCTATTTCTATACCTCTATCTCTGTCTATATACATCTATCATCTATCTATCTATCAACTATCTATCTATCTATTTATCTATCATCTATCTCCCATTTGTTCCGTTTATCTGGAAATTCTGACTAATACACCCAGTAACAGGTGTACACACAGATGTATACAGTTGCCAAAACTCATTAAACCGAACACTCTGCACTTTATTTCATGCAGATAATACAATAAATTTTTAAGAAGAAAATGACAGAGATGTATGGTAGAATAATATATAAACTCATTAACATTATATACTCCCATTAGCATTATATAATTTCTTGATTCCTAGAAGATAGTCAAGTTCTATGAAAAATAGGCTCAGAAAATTTAAATTACACTGAAGGAAAGGAAATTTAGAAAAACATGTATAATAAGAAAAGTCAGTGCGAGGTAGAATATTGTAATGGGACTAATTGGTGGTCATGAGTCAATGTCAGGCAATATAGTATTTATAAGTAAATCCCCTAAAGGTGAGGAATTAGAAATGTGGATGAGAGAGACACAGCTAATCTATTAATATTTCTATTCTTTCACAGACATGCTATGCTAATGCATTTAGATATCTGCTCAGCTGAGTCTTGTTGAATTAATACAAAGATTTGTTTGTTTGATTGATAGTTGCTTTTTCCTGAATACTGGAATAATTCTGTCTTCAGAATGAGCAAACATGCATCAATTTGTTGCATCTGGTTTTCTTGGAAATTAAGGTTTGAAGGGCCTATATGTAAAGTGGTTGCACTATTATAAACCTTACCTTATTTTTCAAACAACAATGTTGCATTAAGGTATTTATGAATAGCATAATTTATGTTCTTTCAAAATGACCAAAAATCGTAAATGTGTTATTGGGCTGCACAACCAATGTACTATACACTTCTAAGTACAAGAGTTGATCCTTTTCTTACTAATCTACAAATTGGATATGTTTCTTGTACTTTAATGGAGGCTCAAAAAAAATGTCTTCATTGCACTATGAAATCAGAGAAAACAGGAAATTCATCTGATGATTATTTTATCCTATAGCCTAATCACAAGTGACAAATAGTTGCCAAATAATAGAAGGAATGGCTTGGGCAAAAAATGTTGAGAAATATCTTTGTACACTGTCCTCCATCAGAGCAAGAATTTTTAGATTATTTCAATTCTGAATAAACGTAACTTATTTGAATCATATTCTCTTT